AATGAAATACAGCAGAGGACAGATTATGCAACAAGTTCTTGGAATGCCCTGGAGACTTTTTATTACAGAAGGTGGAGAAAGCGATTAGGGGAGAGGCTTTCTAGATTGGATTCTTACTAAAAGGAAGGACCCGGGCTGAGAATTTGAAGATAGGGGACAGCTTGAGCGAAAGTGATCATGAAAGGCTGAAGAGGAGTAGCCGAGTTAGTCTGTAACTGGTAAAACTTAAACAATGAATTGTCTAGCAGTACCTTCCAGACAAAAAAGAAGATTAAGGGGGGACATGATAGCGGTTTTCAAATATCTAAGAGGGTGTCACAAGGAGGAAGGAGAAAATTTGTTCCTCTTGGTTTCTGAGGATAGGACAAGGAGTAATGGGCTTAAAGTGCAGCAGGGGAGGTTTAGATTGGACATTAGGAAAAAATTCCTAACTGTCAGGGTGGTCAAATATTGGAATAAATTGCCAAGGGAGGTGGTGGAATCTCCCTCTCTGGAGATATTTAAGAACAGGTTAGATAGACATCTGTCAGAGATGGTGTAGACAGAGCTTGGTCCTGCCTTGAGGGAGGGGGGCTGGACTCGATGACCTCTCGAGGTCCCTTCCAGTCCTAGGATTCTATGATTCTATGATTCTATGATTCTATCTAAACAATTGTGAGCTCTCAGCATTATAATTGGTGTGTTAGCGGGCGCACATAAATGCCCCAGCGGGCGCCATGGCCCCCGCGGGCACCGCGTTGGGGACCACTGGTGTAGATGATATCACGAGCTTTTGTGGGCACAAACCACTTCTTCAGATGAATGGCCATTCAGAAGAGTCAGCAGGTTTTTTTAAAGGAACACTGTTAAGAGTGCAAGAGCAATCTATGCTGGTACATGGGAAAGAGGAAGTCTGATAAGAGACCACCTTGGCTTACACAGGAAATCTTCAATAACCGGAGCCTCCATAAAAGCTCACACAAAAAGTGGAGATTAGATCAAATAACAACTGGTGAGTAAAACCAAAGCCACCCAGCACCGCAATCATGCTGGGCCAAAGTAAGAAACACCAGGCAAGAGTTAAACTAGCTAGAGGCATGAAGGGGAACAAGAAAGCATTTTACACGTACACGAGAAGCAAGACGAAGACCAAAAGACAGGGCAGGCCCATCACTCAGAGAAGCGGAAAAAAGACAACAGTAGAACACACAGCAACGTCTGAAGCATTAGATGACTTCTTTGTTTCAGTTTTCACCAAAAACAACTGAGGGGTGATTGGATGACTAACATAGTGAACATGTGTGTAAATGGGGTAGGATCTGAGGCTAAAATAGAGAATCAATATATAGTAGCCCAGTGTCTGCGAGTCTGTAATGTGTATGTCACCGCCCCCCCCCCTTTCCCTCCTGCTGTGCCCCTCAGCCGGGCCGCCGGGGGAGCCAGCATTGCAAGGGGCCATTTGGGCTCTCCCGTGGCGGAAGGGAAAGGAGGGCTGGGGCATTGACGTACACAGCCCCAGCATCTGGCCGTGTATGTCACCGCCCCGCCCCCCTCCCTCGCGGCAGCCCAGCTGAGCAGGCAGCACTCAGAGGGAGGGGGAGAGACAGAGGGGAGAGAGAGGCAGGAGGAGGAGGAGAAGAGAAAGGGAGAGTGAGAGGCAGGAGGGGGAGAAGAGAAAGAAAGAGACAGAGAGAGAGAGAGGCAGGAGGCGGAGGAGAGCTGAGAGAGAGCAAGAGAGAGCGCGCGCTCAGGAGAGAAGACCTGAAAATCCCATCTTAGGACGGGCCAATTGGCTAGTGAACTCAAGAATTACTTATACAAGGTAGAGGTCTTGAAGTTGGCAGGGCCTTACAAAACACATCCTAGAATACTTAGGGACCTGCTGATGATCATTGAGAACTAGTGCAGGACTCCAGAGTTTCCAGGGGACTGGAAAAGGGCAAATCCAATACTTATCTATAAAGAAGGGAATAAGGACGCCATAGGGAATTACAGACCAGCTAGCTTTAGTATGGTACTCAGAAAGATAATGGAAGAAATAAACAAGCAATTTGTAAGCGGCAGAATAAGTAAGAGTCAACATGCAGTTGTCAAAAACAAATCACGTCAAAGCAACTTTATACCTTGTTTGTGGAAAGAGGAGAAGTGGTACATGTGATACATCTCGACTATAAGGCTTCCAACACAGTCTCATAAGATCTTCTCAAACAAACCAGAGAACTAGAACCTAGACGAACCTACTATAAACTGGGTGCACAACTGATTGGAAAAGCATATTCAGAAAATAGTTATCAATGTTTCACTATTAAACTGGAGGGGCATATTAAGTAGGAGCCAGTGGCGGGGAGGGAGGAAGGAAAGCTATCCTAGTTATGGGTCTATTCACTATCTTCATAAATTATTTGGTTAATGGCTGAGAGAGTACACTTACAGTTCACAGACAGTACCAAGATGGGAGGGGCTGCAAGTGCCTTAGGGGACTGGATTAAAACTCAGAATGATATTGACAAACTGGAGAAACAGTCTGAAATAAACATGAGGAAATTCAATAAGGGCAAGTGCCGAGAGCATGCTTAGGAAGGAATAATCAATTGCACAAATACAAAATGGTAATGACTGCCTAGGAAGGAGTATGGCCTAAAAGGATCAGGGAGTTATAGTGCATCACAAACTTAGGAGTGAAATATGTAATACCATTGCAAAAAAGATATTCTGGGATGTATTAGCTCAAGTATTATAAACAAGACACATGTAGTAATTCTGCTCCACCACTGATGAGACCTTAACTGGTGTATTGTATCCAGGTCTGGCCACCACACTCTGGGAAAGATGTGGACAAATTGGAGAAATCCAGAGAAGAGCAAAAAAAGCTATTAAAAGGTCTAGAAAACACGATCTATGAGGAGAGATTGAAAAATCTGGGTTTATTTAGAGTGGAGAAGACAAGACTGAGGGGGGACATAACAGTCTTCAGGTAGGTAAAAGGATGTTATGAAGAACAGGGTGATAATTGTTCTCCTTATCTTGAGGACAGGATAAGAAGTAACTGGTTTAAATTGCAGCAAGGAAGATTTAGGTTAGGAACTTTTTCCTAATGTCTATCTGTAGGGGTAATCACGCACTGGAACAAATTACCAAGGGTGACTATGGAATCTCAATCACTGAACATTTTAAAAAACAGGCTGGAGAAATGCCTTTCAGGGACAATCTAGATAATACTTAGCCTTGCCTCACTGGAGAAATGCCTTTCAGGGACAGTCTAGATAATACTTAGCCTTGCCTCATTGCAAGGGACTGAACTAGATGACCTAGAGCAGTCTCTTAGAGTCCTAAATTTCTATGAATCCATGGACCATTTGACACAGTCCTGCAGAATCAATTATTGGAAGTAGAAGACAAGGGATAGCTTGAGAATATAAACTATGTTTCTATAATTAGCCTGGAAATAAACTGTTTGTCAAGTTACTTGCTGTACTTTAAGCACAGTGTAATTTAACTGCAGTATAATTTGCCTAAATCCAAATTTAGTGACACACACAAAAGCACTGCAAAACAGACAGATCTAGAACACTTGTGATGCTTTTTTACTTTCTGTGGGTATTTCCCATGCAATGTTTTTCCTAAGAGTTACATTTGCATGACAGTACAGCAGAAGTGTGGAAACAAGAGACTCGTTAAACAGGAAGACAGCTCAGAGAGCTCATTTTAAATAACATTCACCCATCTTGGTAAAACCAGCTAATTAAAGCTACTTGCTCTTTGCTTGTTACTTAGCTTAGACAAATGAAACTAGATTAGAGAGCTTCAGTGGCTTATTTTCATTCACAAGCACAGTCCTGTTATGTTTGGGAAAAGCCAAACACCATGGTGAGACATTTGATTAAAAAGGGGAACTATGTTTTTGCTAGTTGTGTGAGAAAACCCAAACATACTTCAGACAATAATCCATTACTCTTCCAACCCAAATGAGTGATTTTATGCTTTTGTTCACGTCCTAAAACAGTCTGAAGCATTCGTAGTGGCAATAAGGCTTTACTGTATTACTCTAACGTCCACTAGACTCAATTATTTGATAGATCCAGGGCCATACAAGTTCCCTAATAAGAACTTCCTCACCTTGGCTGCTTTGATCATCTGAAACATGACTACCAGGATCTCTCTCAGCAACTGAAAATTAAAGCTTAGTTTTTACCCTCCTATAAGCCTACATTCTGCTAGCTTCTACTTCAACTATTTTGAACAGTTGATCGTAGTTATGACTTGAACAATGCTTTGAAAATGTAAGTGCTATGGAACTCTACGGAAGTGTCATTTATTACTATGAGTAAATATTAAAAGCTCTTACCTCAATAGAGCTAGCAATATTCAGACACTCCTCCATTCCAGGTATATCCAGTTGAATAATCCGCAGATCTTTGCATTTTATAATGATGGTGCCTAACGAGCCAACAAACCTGCAGTGAAAGACACAGAATGTTCAACTACGAAGAGAAGTAGCCTTTATCGAAGTCCAAATTCCTAGATGAATATACACAGGTCTTCCAGCAGCTCATACATGCAAAAGAAAGCTCCGACAAGTAGTAATTTATCTGCTACGCATTCTTTTAGAAAATGTGCTATTCAAATCTTTCGGCAAGCCGTGTTTACACATAACTTGTGTTACTCGCTAATACTATAGGGCTGTGTCTACATTGATGAGATTTTGCGCAAAAGTGGCCGCTTTTGTGCAAAAACTTGCCACCTGTCTACACTGGCTGCGAGTTCTTGCGCAAGAACACTGACGTTCTAATGTAAGAAATCAGTGCTTCTTGCACAAGAACTATGATGCTCCCACTCAGGAATAAGCCCTCTTGCGCAAGTGTTCTTGCACAAGAGGCCAGTGTAGACAGGCAACACGAATTTCTTGCGCAAGAAAGCCCGATGGCTAAAATGGCCATCGGAGCTTTCTTGCACAAGAGTGTCTCTACACTGGCACAGATGCTTTTGCGCAAAAGCACATCTCTTGCGCAAAAGCACATGCCAGTGTAGATGCTCTCTTGCGCAAATACTTTAATGCAAAAACTCTTGCGTTAAAAGTATTTGCGCAAAATCTTGCCAATGTAGACGTAGCGCACCCCCCTCCCCCCGGATAGGAATCTTCTGAGTGTGCCGCTATAAGAGATAAAACAAGTATTTAATGGTGGCCTGCAAAAAAAAAAAATGGATGTACGCCTTTGCCTTTTGGGGGGGGGACGGGGGACTTCTGCTGGTGGTGTGTGGGTATGTATCTGTTGAGGAGGATTAAAAGTTTTCTTACTGTTTTCTAATATTTATCTCCCCCTCTCCCCCCACAAACAATCCCCAAATCTCAGGTATTTCACCTGTGACCTTTCTGATACTGCTAGAGAACGCAGACTGAGAGCTCTCTAATTCATTAACGGAATCACAGTACTGTTGAATCCAACAGAATTTTGTCTGTGTTTTGGTTAATCTTCAACTCAAAAGAAAAAATATTTCAGTCTGAATAAAAACTATGCCACCACCCCTTAAACAAACAGGCGTCACTTTCTTGGTAGCTGCAAGGTCATCACTGTATTAGGTTCTTTAGTCCTCAGAACCTTCCAGGAGTAAGAGGTACACTAGCCCTTCATGTTTAATGTAAAAACATGCAGGAAAAAAAGCACCTATTAAAAATGCCTTAGGTGTTCTTTATGCACCAAAAAGCAGCATTGATTTTGAGGAAAAAAGGTTGATTTCCTTCATGTTAACTAGCAACCAATAAAAAAACATTGCTGTTAAAAATACAAAGGCTGGAAGTGAGTAGGAAAACAAGGGAAGGGAGATAAATACTCAAATGACTCAGCGCATGAGCATGTTTGCAGAAGATGAAAGAGTTTAGCAAGACAGATGAGGAGTTCAATTGTCACCATCTTTAGACTGAATCAGGCTTGTCCCGTATCCAATTACGGAGTTATGTGGGGCTTAATGTAAGTGGGCTCAGTAAATTAGAGACTGGGAGGGAGGTTTTACTACTAGGCCTACATTCAGCTGGCTATGACTTTGACCATATCACTTCACCTCCATGTTTCTGTTCCCCCACCTATAAAATGAGCATAGAGTGGCTAGCTCTCTCAGAGACAGCGTGGGAAGCATTCTATAAGCAGCGCCTATCAAGAGGATTGATTTGCAGAAGAAAGGCGATACAGAAATATGCCCTATAATACAGTCAGACTGATTTTCAAACCAGTTCGCAGTTTTGTCTTGGCATCCCTTTATGTTTTAGCCTCACAGCTAATGGCGGGTGCAATCTGTTGATGGCACAATGCTAGCCCTGATCAAATGCAGGCCCAGACTGACATGCAGGCCCTCGGAAGCAGCACAGGCAGTATAGCTGTAACTGTCTGAATGCTAGGGATTTAAGAGTGTAAATGACTAACAGTTTAACTCATAAGGGCTGCTCGCTCTGCTCCAGGGGAGGAAGCATCCCTGCTGCAAGGAAGCCTGCTCCCAGGGCAGCTTCGCTGCGGGCTCTGCAGTATAAATCAAAGTTTTATACTGCAGAGCCTGCAGTGTGGGTAACCGTATAACTGCTGAGATTTTCAGTGGTTACACAGTTAGCCTATTACACGATTTTTAACATCCCTACTGAATACAGTACAGCCGTCAATGCAGGTACGAGCACCTATATAAAAGATAAGATAAAATCTGGTGGGTCTGTAATTTGGTCTGCTAAGCCTTTATTTCAGCTAATAAACCATTAATTTCTTCACTCAGTAGCTGTGTGACTGTTTCTCCAGCACGGAAGAACTGGAAGAATTTGGGACAAATGAAGGAATAGTGTTCAGCCTCAACGATGATCCCATGTGCCTGCATGCCCTCCTATTTCATAACTTCCTGTAGTAACAGTTTACAACAAGTGGGGCTATTTTTCCTCTCTGCATTTCCTGGAGTATCCTGACATCGCAGAGTCAATAAAGACGGCTCTTCTCCACAATGAGATCAATAGGCCGTACGTGTAAAAAGAGTCACTGAAGAATGGCAAAAAGCTACTAAAAAAAGCAGCAGTTTTGGAGCTCATGCCTCAAAATGATTATGAAAAATTTTCAGCCTAAGCACAAAAATCTGCTCACCTATCTTTATCAGAAGGACACTACAAAAAAAAAACAATATTCTACTTGCCCATCAAAGAGATATTCACATCAGCAAAGCGAAAGGGTAAAATTCTGTAATCCTGCGCTAATCCCATATTGGTTTGTCTTAGGGACATCGCTATATGTGAACTAAAGCAGAGCTATTTACTGGGCCCTATATAAGGGCCCCATGTTGTAATCCCTGGCGTTTTTTCCCTCTAAAGCAGGCAACAAGGATTTTTAAGAGGAAACCTCTAAATGGATCAGATGGGATAGGATAGAATGGCACCGTGATGGAGTCTATACTGCAGAAGAGTAGCCAATAGTCCTCAAATTTGTCAGGCTGATGAGGAAGAGGTAGAGATAGTATTGTATTAGTTCCTATATGGCAGTGTGACTTCACGTAGAGAGTATTGGACAGAGTCTCCAAAAATATGGTTTCTATTCCTGGCTCTACCATTGGCCTTGTTGTGACACTTTGAATACATCATTTCACCTATGTATACCTCAGAGATAATGATAAGAGCGGTCATACTGGGTCAGACCAAAGGTCCACCTAGCCTAGTAGCCTGTCTGCCAACAGTGGCCAATGCCAGATGCCCCAGAGGAAGTGAACAGAACAGGGAATCATCACAAGACCCCTCGCAAGACAAACAGGCTAGGGACATTATCCCTACCCATTCTGACTAATAGCCATCCATGGACTTATCCTCCATGATATACTTTGTAAAGCACGTTGAGATTTACAAATGGAAAGCAATGTACAAAAGTTAAGTATTATTATTATACTGTAGCCAGTGTTCCAAGTTTTTTCCATCCGTACGCAGAATAAATTTTGTTACGTGCACCAAAGCACGTGCAGATGTGCACCACCAATATAAATACACACTGCTGGTTGTGGTCAGCTGCGGCTTCTCTGCCAGTCAGCTGGGCAGCACCTGCATCTCTCCTGGGCAGCCAACCAAGCGCTCAGCTTACAGGGAACGCTTTCACCTACACACTTTGCTATCTCCGGTCAACCCAGGAAAGCAGGCAATGATCACCCCCATTTTACAGAAGAAGGAAACCAAAGCAGAAGTGAAGTAACTCAACCAATGTCCAAAACAGGACTAGAATCCAGACGCTCACGCTTCTGCTTAGTACTAAACCCTTGGGCTCCTGATGCCCAATTCTTTGCCGTGCTCCCCACCCCCCTTAGGAAGAGACGGAACTAGATGGGTGCAAAGACGTGAAAATACCTTTTTTCTATGGAGTCAATGTTGGAGTGCAGCAGCCACAGCTCCTCAGCATTGTCCTGGCGCCGGGAGGAGAGGATGAGGTGGTGGCCAGTCAAGCACAGGGTCCCCTCCACCGCCGGATAGAAGGGGCGGTGCAGGACCACGTTATCCGCGCGGGGTGTCTTGATGAGCTCTGCAAACTCCATGTCTCCCCGGGGCTGGCACAGGCCTGGGCGCGACCTTGGCAGGTAAGCAGCTGGCAGGGGGCGAGCCCGAACTCTCCACTCTCCTGGGGCCAAAGGGGGGGGGATCCAGACTATCCCCAGGGCCCTTCCCCGAGCGCAGGGGGCTGGGAACTGGCAGGGAGGCACAGGGGTG